TTCCTCGATTTGTACTGCCCTGTAGATGCACAATTTTTTCTCACCACTAGCCTTAAGGCTACCATTTAACATCATGTGTTTATTCGTGGTATAGCTGCATTGTAGCGTGCAACACACCCTCCTAGTGCAGCTGACTCCCTCATTATTGTAGAGCATAACCATTACTTCAAGATTAGGCAAAAAATGACACACTTTAAATGGGGAGGATGGGTGGGAAGTGCGAATCGAGGTATGTACCTATTGGAAATACACTTTCAGTGTGGGAAAATATTAACTTCCAATATGATACCTTAGAAGATGATGTTGATACATGGAAGAAGAAGAGACCGCTAGAAGATGAAGAAAATGTGAAATTAAAGTAAATGGGGTAGTCCATATGACAGTTTGCATGAACTTATCCAAGAGATAATGGAAGTGAAGAGCCAAAGAGAAAATAAGGTGATGTAGTTGGTGAGGAGATGTGAAAGAGTTGTTGTAAATCTACACCCAATGAGGAATGGGCTAAATAGATGAGGTGCTGTAACCATCACTTGAGAGTAATAGGTGACACATATTGGGGCAATGAGAAATTCCATAGAATAAATAAATGGGAGCATAAACTGTGTAAAGGAGCAGAATAGGTCAAAGAACAACAAAACAACATGGTTGGGACAGAGAAAATGATTTGGAACAGAAAGATAATAATATTGAGAAATGGATGGGAAAAAATATGAGAAGCAGCAATGGCATACACATCATATTTTTTATAGCCACAGGCAAAAAATAAAAAGAAGGACCTAAGAGAAAGATGGTAGAAGGAAAAAGAGAGATTAAAGGGTCAAAGAGAGGAAGGGTAAGGGCATGGAGAACAGTATGCAGGCCCAAATCAGGAAGGACTGCAAGATGAGGAGGATGAAGATGGTAAAGCAAAGAAAAGACAGGAGCTAACATTTTCCTAAATTTATAATTTTCCTATACAAAAATTTATTTCAGATAGGTACTTCCCTCCACTCGCAAGATTAGCTTTTCCCAGTTTCTGCTCCCCTCTATTTGCAAACTTTTTTAAAAATGCATGCCACAAGCCTTCCACTTCCCACTGTTGGAATCCAAAGTTCCAACCTGTCTCTCATGCAAACCATCATATGTGAACTCTCCACCAATAGGATAGTACTACTATCATGTGACTCCCTCTATGCACCACTACCGTACTATCACTTCGAAGTTTGGCCAAGGACGTGAGTACTGGAAGTGTGTGGGGAGGAAGGATGGGAAGTGTGAGAAGAGGGAAGTACCTATCAGAAATACATTTTCATATAGGAAAATTATAACTTCCAATACAGTACCTTCCCTCCACTCATAAGATTAGCTTGAATCCAACACTGAAAAAGAGGAGGGCAGAATAAGCGTATCCACTGAAAGCATCAGAAGGACACCCCTGGAGATCAGAGAAAAAGATCAGATGATCTGAGGGGCACTACACCACTTCTGAACCAGGTATCTCTTTGCAATGAACAGGTGGGATCAAAACATGGCAGAATATGAAGGTAGAACATCTGCGTGGGAGAAGATAGATCAGTAATGTGATCATAATCAGAGAAACAGATACACTCAATCCGACGTAATGAAATGTGTAATGGAGGATGTGTCCCATGGTGTAGAGTGGCTAGAGCACCTCGAACTGTACTTGATAAGTCAACTACATCCAAAACCTCATCCACTGGGTACCAATATCCATGTGAGGGTAGGATGAGGATCATACCATCTTCACCTGAATGTACATATGATATCAACTCCAGGAAATGT